ACCTCGTGCATATTGGGCATTGTGTTGGGCACGGGGGATAGAAAAATGGCTAAGATGGGAGCTCACCTTCCAGGGACTTACAGTCTAGTGGGAGAGAGCACTTTAGCAAGGTGTGTGAGTGCAGTGACGAAGGTGTGCACACGCGGCTTCCCAGAGCCGTTCTCCTGTGAGTGAGTCTTGAAGGCTGACCTGGCCCAGCCAGGAGAAGAGCACGAGTGAGCAGCAGTGAGGAAGAATGGAGGGGTTAGCTGGGGCTCTGAGAAGTGGCCAGTGGGGCATGTGCAGGGCGTGCCCTCAGCTCCGTGTCACCAGGGCACAGGGGGATGCGGGGGGAGGGCATAAACACCGCTAGACGGTCAAGCAGGAGCCAAGCCTTGCTGGCCTTCCATGCCGTCTTCAATGAATGTGGGCCTGGTTTCGGGTTAGCTTTTTAGATTCTTGGCAGTGGCAGAGCCACTTGATGTGGGTGCTAGCCCAGGTCAGAGGGGTCCTCTGGCCAGAGCTGTGCTCTCTGGCCGCCCCAGAGCTCCCAGGTGCTTCACTCTGCCTCCCGGTGGCCTCTTGGCTGCAGGTGTTTGTAGGTTATCTCACTCCAGTATCTGTCACAGTTGATACCTTTTATATCCCCATTTTAAAATTTTTTAAAAATTGAGGCCCGATTATCAGACCAATTGAGTGTCTTGCCGGAGGAATGAACTCAGGTTTGTCTGCTGCGCTGCTCTCAGAGGCTGAGAATGTGTCCATACAACTCTGGAGCTGCCCTTCTTGAGGTGAAAGGTGGAAGGTCATGCGTGCCCACCAGGGCCACGCAACACTCTGCTTTCAGGGGACGTGTGTGGAAAAAGCTGCGCCTTGGCAGGAGATTGAGTTGGCAAGGAGAGAATCACAGTGGGCTTTCTCTAAATTGTCTCATGTGTGTGTGCAGTGGAGGGCATTGTCATCAGTGTGACTGAGTTCATGCTTATGGACAGGGCGTCAGCCCGCTTGTGTCAAGGTGCCTGGGAAGGCTGAGCTCGCCGCCTGGCTCACCCAGACTGCTCACCTACTCTAGAGGAGGTGGAGGCACGGTGGGCTGGCTCTGCATGACCAGGGCCCTTGATGGGAGGCATCTCCACAGAACACTCGGGATGCGTTCCACAGATGCTCATTCTGCGTCCCGTCCCTCACCAACTCTTTCATCTAATTCTGGCCAAAGGCAGGACGCTCTGCAGATGGCAGCTCCCCGCCATTCAGCCCCTGCCTGCTTCTGTGGTCTGGTCCACCACTTCCTGGGGTTTTGCATCCTCATGCTGCTCCTCTGCACAGACCGCCCCCCACCCGCCACCCCCCAGTCCAGCATCGTGAGGGCTGGGCCCCCAGCCATCGTCCTCACGCCTGTGGCCTGAGCTCTGAGCTCAGTCCCTGACACACGGGAATAAATGAATGTATACACAGAGCGTGAAACAGAAGGCAGAAGGAATGGTGGTATGAAAGAGACGTTGCTCTTATGGGCTTATTAAGAATAAGATTCTTGTAAAGTAAAATGATCTCTCTCTAGTGCTTTGCATGATATAAATAATAATAAGCATAGATAAGTTGTGGATGTTCTTGATACCTGTCTTCTCACATGTACACAGTATTCATCCTTGAACCATGCTGATCGGGGTCCCCGTTTTTACTCCTGAAATGATTAATACATAAGCCCAATTTGCCCCCACAGAGTATGCATTGTGTCCACGAGCATGCTGGCCAGGTGATGGGGGCATGAGCTTATTGAATGAGACACCTAGACTTTGGTCAATGCTTTAAGGAGATAGCAGGCCCTCCCAGGGAAAGTTCAAAAGGCCTCTAACAAGAAAGAGAACTTTGAGAATTCAAGAAGGCAGGGCCTCTTTAAATAGAAACCTAGCCTCAGGAAGACAGAATGAAATTCAGTCCGTCTGGAAGTGTTGCACACCTGGTAAATATCCAGCCTTATAGTGTACTTTGGGGTACAAAGGGAATGCCCCAGCCCCTGTCTACTAGGCCTTCGCAGCCTGTTTGGGAAGAAGGGGACACACATGAAAATGTTGGCAAGAATGCAAAGCAACCTATAATAGGTGCCGGCAATAGAGGAAAAACTCTAGGTGTTGAGGAAAAAGATCTTTCTGCTGGTCAGGGAGGGCACATGGTCAACCACGTGTGTTTGAAGGACAGTGAGTTTTGTAGTTTAGCAGAGGAGAGCTTGCGGAAACATAGGAGATAAACAGAGATAACAGTAGTTATTAGGGCGATCGTAATGATATCCTGTATTATAAATACAGAGGCACCAGGCTCAGCTAACACCCAGCGAGTGTGACTCCATGCCAGGGCTCAGATTCAGTTCTGGAAGATGACGGGCCACCGGCACCCCATCCTCCCTGCTCCCCATGAACCAAGGACTGAACTGTTAACTTTCCCTGATCTCAAAAAAACACTTTAAGTAAATTTTTATGAACACATTGTCCTGGCTATGAACAGTACTATGATGCTCATTGCAGTTTTTCAATATAAAAAACGCAGAAGAAAATAAAATGACCCATAATCTTACCACTCTGAGATAGTGAGTGAACATTCCGTGCATTTCCTTCCAAGTTTTTCATAGTGTTAAATGCCAGGTGTTGGGACATGAGTAGCCAAGGTGGAACTTCCACCGTTAATGCAGCATGACCAGTCTTAATACCGAGTTTTGAGTGAGATGAATTCAGCCCCCTTGTGTTGAAAGGATTTCCCATTACTGTTCAGAGAGCAGAGCAGACACGTGGACCGCTGAGGCACACCCCGGGAAGTGAGCCCTGTTCACGGGGTAGTGTAGCCCCAGCTGAACACAGGGCTGGGCTGTATCTTGTCCCGAAACCATGACCGCAGCGCCCTGAGATCTGACCCTGTCGCTCCTAGAGAGAGGAGCCGGGGTTCTGGGGGGCAGCGCCTCAGTCAGGGCCCTTCAGTGATCTCATGTGGTCCGTATGTCCTATCCTCCCTGGCTTGTAAGCCCCGGTGTCTTAGCCCACTCTTGCCTAAATCTAGAAGATGCCTTCCAGATGGTCTGTCTGCTGTTTTTGTTGGTCAGTCTTTGCTTCAATCACGAGAGCACTGGGGTGATTGAAGGTTTGAGGTGATAACCTTGGTCTTGTTGCTGAGTTAAAGACAGAGCTGACTTGTTTCAAATAGCAGAACACAAAGCAGAGAAGAATCTGCGTGGAATGACCGGTCCAGGGCAGGGCAGTAGGAGAAAAGTAGTAGATTTTCATTACATTTCATGAGAAAATGCATACATGTTTACAGCCTGGTGTTTTTGTTGATCATTTATATATGTAGCTCTGTGCTATTAGTAGGAGTAACTTTCATCTACTAAATAGTACATTCTGATACTACTTATCAAATGGTATTTGTGAGGTATCCCCATCTTACAGATAAGGAGATGGGGGTTTAGCACTTGTGAATGGCGTGGCTGGGGTTTACCATCCAAGTCCAGAGCCCGCGCTCTTTGTTCCTTGCTGGTTTTGCATTTAATTTCTACCTTTATTACAGAGGGTTTTTGCGGCCCTTCTCGTGGCCTCTAGTACAAGTACTTAGTGTATTCTAGCGCATTGTGACCTTTTCAGAGGTCAGGCTGCTCCTTTGGCCGTGAGGTGGCTATTTCATGTACCTTTTTCAGAGTGCAAGGTGAGGTGATACCAGCATAGATTCTTGGAAAAGCAACTTCCCATAAGAATCTCTTCACAGGGGGGAAAAATGAAACAAGACGAAACCAGAGAGGGAGACAAACCATAAGAGACTCTTAATCTCAGGAAACAAACTGAGGGTTGCGGGAGTGGAGGGGGGTGGGAGGGATGGGGTGGCTGGGTGATGGACATTGGGAAGGGTATGTGCTAGGGTGAGCGCTGTGAATTGTGTAAGACTGATGAATCACAGACTTGTACCTCTGAAACAAATAATACATTATATGTTAATTAAAAAAAAAAAAAGAATCTCCTCACGGGAAAACCCAGAATTCTTTCTGAGCCTCCCCAACTGCTTTACAATTAGGCACTTCCATGGAATCCTAAGTATTGAAGCCATTCTGAATTTTCTTCTAGGCTTCTTTCTCTCTGGTTGTTTTAAATGCGGATGATGTCCCACAGGCTGTGGGAGAGCATTTATATTTATTTTTAGCTCCTAATCTTTGAGGGCAGAGACTCTTAAATTTTTCTGTATAGGAGACTCTCCCAAGTGCTTAGTATTAAAACAGCTTGCTGGGCGGCGCCTGGGTGGCTTAGTCAGTTAAGCATCCAGCTCTTGGTTTTGGCTCAGGCCATGATCTCAGAGTGGTGAGACTGAGCCCTCCATCAGGCTTCACACGCAGCGGGGAGTCTGCTTGAGATTCTCTCTCTCCCTCTGCCTCTCCCCGCCCACTCGCACATGCGCTTGCTCTCTGTCTCTCAAATAAATTTTTAAAGGCTTTTTAAAATTTATTTATTTGACAGAGCACAAGCAGGGGGAGGGTCAGAGGGAAAAGCAGACTCCCCGCTGAGCAGGGAACCTGCCATGGGGCTCGGTCCCAGGAGCCTGGGATCATGACCTGAGCCAAAACCGAGTCGGATGCTTAACTGACTGAGCCACCCGGGCGCCCTGTCAAATAAATTGAGAAGAAAAAAAAAAAAACAACCCAAAACAGCTTGCTGGGCTCCACCCCCCACCCCCCACCCCCAGTCTCTGATTCAGCCAGTCCGGGTTGGAGCCAGGGAGGTTGCATTTCTAGCATGTTCTCAGGAATGCTGCTGCTGTAGGGGGAGGCAACACTTGGAGAGCCACTTTTCCAGGGTTTCTGGCAGAATCCCCACGCATGCCTTCCCATGCTCCCGACCCCCTGAAAAATCACCCTCCAAGCCACTCTGCTTTTACTTCCTTGTACAAAATTAGCCAGAGACATCAGGTGAAGTCTATGGTCTGGCTTCCGAAGTTAGGTGGCAGTGTGACTTGGTCTTTGGGAGCTCACTCGTGTGGGGGACCTGGTGTTTCAGGTAGTGCGAGCGGCCGAGGAGGCGGCGTCCACGCTGGCCAGCTCCATCCACCCGGAGCAGTGCATCAAAGTTCTCTGTCCCATCATCCAGACGGCTGACTACCCCATCAACCTCGCCGCCATCAAGATGCAGACCAAAGTCGTCGAGAGGATCGCCAAGGAGTCCTTGTTGCAGCTCCTCGCCGACATCATCCCGGGCTTGCTACAGGTGGGCCCTCCCGGCGGCTGGCCGGCGCCCGTCTGCCCGGGAGCAGGCACCACCCAACCCGGGCGTGTGGGGGCTTTGCTCTCCTCGTTCACCCCAGGGGCGGGGAGGGAAAGGCAGGCGCCAACCTGTGCTTTTAGGAACCTGTGCAGCTGAATGGCTTGGACACCCCACGCCTTCTGTTTTCTAACGCCTCCCCTGAATGTAGCAGGAAGATCCTCCTGGCAGATTAGAACTGTGGCTCCCGGATTGAGCTTTCTGTTTACTATAAATATATTTTGGTCATTTTTGTTGTTGTTCGTTCCTTCAACAAACCCTTATTGCACATCTGTGGGCCCCAGCCCTGGGCAAGGCGGGCCATGGATCAGATACAGGTCCTTGCTCTCCTCTCCAGCAAACACTTCTTGAAAGCCTTCTAAGTGTGAGGCGTTGTGTTAGAGTGTGGAATTGAAGAGATGTCTTGTGGTGCTGCGGCACGACCCCGAGGGTGTTTCAGCCATGGGACCCAGTACAGCCATGCCGGCGGCTCTAGATGGGGGCACCGTGTGCCATTACCGTAGGTATGAGTGGAGGTTTCCGAGATACGAGGTTGAGGGGTGATTTCGGGGCTGGGGTAGTGGAGAGGGGAGGGCTCACATAGGAGCCAGTTTAGAGTCAGACCCTCGAAGGAGAGCAAGATTTCAGAGGGAAGGTAGAGATAAATCAGCTTCACAATTTAATAAATACTCTGCTTGCCACACACTTGGCTTGGAGTTTAAATACAGAAAAATCCTCAGGGCTGCTTGGAGAGCAGCAGGTAGTCTCATTTGAGTGTGGGGCAGGGGCCAGGCCAACGGGTAGATTGAGGCCCAGTTGTAGAGGATGCGGGTCTGGACATTCCCCAGCCATTTTTGGCTGGCACAGAGGTTCTGCCCACAAGAGTGAGGGATGCAGTTCTCATTTCTTAAAAGGCATTTTCACACAAGGTTTGCTTTACCTGGGTGACACCTGGGTGGCTCAGTCAGTTCAGCGCCTGCCTTCGGCTCGGGTCATGATCCCAGGGTCCTGGGAACAAGCCCCTTGGTCAGGCCTTCCCTGCTGGGCGGGGAGCCTGCTTCTCCCTCCGCTCCCCTGCACCACCTGCTCGTGTTTGCTCACACTCTGTCTTTTTTTCAAAAAAAAAAAAAAAAAGATTGGCTTTACCATTGGGAGAAATGTGAGAGAAGCGAGCTGATTGTTCTCCCACTCTGGCGCGTGCGCGTTGGGTGGCGCTGCCGCGACCGCTCCGGTAGAACAGCACCCCGTGCACAGGCGGGCCAGCCTCCCGCTTCCAGTCCCCCAGCACCAGCTCATTCTCAACACCTTGAAGTTTTGGCCTCTCTCGGCTCCGTGGCAGACCTCAGGTGCACCATGGTTGTTGGCAACAAGGCCACGGGTGAACTGTGAGGGCATTTGTGGAAATGTGGATGAGACATTGACTCTGAAGCAGACCTTTGATCTCATGTCCTTTTTGTGTGCCTCTGACTTTGTAGGGTTATGACAACACTGAAAGCAGCGTGCGTAAGGCCAGCGTGTTTTGCTTAGTGGCAATTTATTCCGTAATTGGAGAAGAGCTGAAACCTCACCTCGCACAGCTCACGGGGAGCAAGGTATGTATAGTGTTACACCTGGGCTCCGCCGGCCGTCACAGGTCTGCTTGGCTGCAGCTCTGGCCTCCAGACAGCCGGAGTCCCTCGTGGGCATCAGCAGTCATGAGAGCAGGCTCTCGCCTGGTGCTTGCTGAGTCCCGGGTCCCAGATGCTGTTGGCTGCACTTTGCGTGTGTTAATGCATTCGTTCATGACAATATCCCTGGGGGACAAGGACAGTTATCCCACATTTAACTGCCCAAGGGCACACAGAGCTCAGCTTTTCCCTCCCTGTACTGCCCCTCACGTTCCTTTCAGAGTTTTCTAGAATCAGGGGCCAGATGTGGAACAAAAGGCCCATTGGCTCATTGCAGCTGAGAGTGCTTATTGGTTTAAAAATAAACTTAAAATCTGAAGAGCCTGCCAGGTGAGAGCAGGTGGATGCCCCGAGCTTTGGCAGGAGAGGCGGAGGGGGGAGCGGCAGCTTGAACTCCTGGGCCTTGCAGGCCTCCTGCCTGGTGGCGAGGCTACTCCAGCGACTGCCCGTGGGGGACATGCATCAACATGGAGTTAAAACACCCTGGCGGCATTCTGGATTAAAAACCGTGAAGCTAGAGGTGCCTGGCGTGCTCCTTATGAAGGAAGGAATCAACAAGTAGTGCCCCGTTTCTTTCCAAATAGAGCAGTTCCTCTGACACAGCTGGTGAGCCTCGCTCCCTGAGAGTTCTGGCAAAGCCAGCTTGCCTGCCTCTGTCCAAGCAGGACTTGCCCTTCAGCGCCACTGACACTTCGGGCCACTTCGTTGTCAGGGCTTGTCCTGGGCATCGTAGGAAGATCGGCAGCGCCCCTGACTGCCTTCTGTAGACTCCAGTAGCGCCCCCACCCTCAGACGCAGTCATCTGCATCAAGTCTGCACATGGCCAGATCACCCCTGGGGGGCAAAATCACCCCTGCTTGAGAACCGCCAATCCAGGAGGAGACACTTGACTCTCCTTGCAGACAAAAATAAGCCGCTGGGTCGGAAGGTGTGAGTGAGGCGGCTGTGGATAAATGATTTGGGGGCTACTTTGCCTGATTCCATTTTCCACTTCCTCCTACAAAAAGGCTCTTCACTGATCCCTGCCCTAGCCAAGACCTGAAAAATACTGAGCCAAGATTCACCAGCGGTGAGGGCTAGAAGACAGCATTTACAAAGGGAACTCAGCTTTTAAAGTTAATCCCCAAATTGTATTAGACCCCGGTTTTGCCTGGCAATTTTCATTTTCCTCAGTAAAGCAACTGTCCCATCGGCTCATGTGACCCCTCTAATAATGGACTGAGAAGATACAGGTGTTTTCTCATCCCTGTCTGGTGGCTGACCTGCTGGGGCTCCTTTCAGTGGTGGCCTTGGGTCTGGAGCCCGTTACAGCTTGAGTCCACTCAGAGGGCTTAGGAAGGCCGGCCCTTGCACCATTCTGCTTTGGTAGTCCGATTCATCCTGTTCCGGGTGTTCAACGTGGTAACTCTGATGTGGTGATAGGAGCTTTGTAGACTCAGATACACATCTCCATCACCAAAAATCGGTAGCTGACAGACATGGTGCTAAGTCTGTTAGACTAGAAACAAAAGGAATTCCTGTTTCTCCGCAGAGAAAGGCCCGACGCAAGGACGCAGAAGGAATGCGTTGGGGGGCATTTTGAGAGTGCCCCGTCACTGTGGCAGCAACGCCGTCTCTGGGGTCAGACAGCCTGCCCTCTGGTCTCTGTCTCCCAGTTCTCAGCTGGCTCTAGGACCTTGAACAAGCTTTCTTTTCTTTTTCTGGTTTTTTTTTTTTTTTAATTATGGCAGAATACACATAACATACAATTTGCTATCTTTACCATTTTTGAGTGTACGGTTTACCGGTAGTAAGGACATTCCCATTGCTGTGTGACCATCACCTTCAGAACCTTTTTCATCTTGTAGAACCAGTACTCTGTACCCTTAAGTAATAATTCCTCATTATTCCCTCTTCCCGGCCCCTGGCCATCACTGTTCTATTTTCGTCTCTATGAATTTGCCTACTCGGGTGCCTCATAAAAGTGGAATCATTTGTCTTTTTGCAGCTGGCATATTTCACTTAGAATAACGGTCCTTGAGGTTCATCCTTGTGGTAGCATGTGCCAGAATGTCCTTCCCTTTTGAGGCTGAATAATATTCCATTATATGTACATGCAACAGCTTGCTTATCCACTTTTTGGTAATGGACACTTGTTCTTTCCACCTTGTGTCTGTTGGGAGTAGTGCTGCTATGATAGTGTGTACAGATACGTCTTTGAGACCTGACTTTCAGTTCTTTTGGGTTATCTATGCAGGACTGGAATTGCTGAATCCTATAATAACTTTTCCACGGTGGCTGTGCCCTTTTACAGTCCCAAGAACAGCACCAAGGGCTCCAGTTTCTCCACATACTCACCAGCATTTGTTTTCTCTTTTTTTTTTTTGATGGTAGCCATCCCACTGGCTGGTGGCCATATGTTCTGTTGGCTGCTTGGTGTATCTTCTTTGGAGAAATATCTACTGAAGTCCTTTGTCCATTTTGAATTGGAGTTTGTTGTTTTTTAATTGTTGAGTTTTAGTTAGAAGTTTTCTGTATATTTGGAACATTAATCCCTGTCTTTTGATGCATAAAATTTTTTAATTTTCATGAAGTCCAATTTATCTGTTGTTTTGTTGCCAGTGATCTTGGTATCATAGCCGAGAAATCAGTGACAAATCCAGTGTTGTGAAGCTTCTGCCCTGTGTTTTCTTCTAAGAGTTTTATAATTTAACTCACACATGCAGGTCTCTGGTCCATTTTGAATTAATTTTTGTATGGCAGTAGGTGATGCTCCAATCTCATTCCTTTGTATGTGGATATCCAGTTTCCACGGCACCATTTGTTGAAAAGACTACCCTCTCTCCATTAACTGACGATTTTATATCCTACTACTTTGCTAAATGTATTAGTCTTAGCAGGGTGTTTTGGGGGGAATCATTAGGGTTTTCCACATATAAGATCTTTCATCATTTATGAATAGAGACTATTTTACTTCTTTCCATTGTGGAGGCCTTTTATTTTCTTGTCTAATTGCTCTGGCTGGAACTTCTAGTACCAAATAGAATAGAAGTGGGGAACATCAGCATCCTTGCCTTGTCCTTGATCTTCCGAGAACACTTTCAGTCTTTTACCATTGAGCATAATGTTCATCATAGGCCCCCCATATATAGATTTTGATATGTTGAGGCAGTTTCCTTCTATTCCTAGTTTGTTGAGCAATTTTATTATCAAAGGGTGTTGAATTTTGTCATCATCAATTGAAATCATGTGGTTTTTTCCCCTTCTGTTAATGTGTGTTATAGTGATTAGATTTTCATATGGTGAGCTATCAAGGAATTTCAGGAACAAATCCCACTTGGCCATGGTGTATACTCTTTTTAATAATGCTGTTGAATTCAGTTTGCTAGTCTTCTTGAGGATTTTTATATCAGTATTCATAAGAGATATTGACTCATAGTTTTCTGTTCTTGTCTCCCATCTGGCTTTGGTATCAGGACAATGCTGACCTTACAGCATGAGTTTGGAAGTGCTCCTTAATCTTCGATTTCATGGAAGAGTTTGAAGAGCGTTGGTGGTAGTTTGCTAAACGTTTGGTAGAATTTATTAGGGAAGTCATCTGGTCTAGGGCTTTTCTTTATAAGAGGTTTTTTGTTGTGTTTTTGTTTCTGTTTTACTGCTGTCAATGAGAGGAAAACTTGTATCGAGGCCCCAGGGCCTAGGGGCTCTGGCAGGAGGTGGCCCTGCAGGCAAAAGAAGAGCTGGTGGAGGGGCAGGTTGTTGGTGAGGCGCACCTCCTGTGGCAGGTGACTGCAGGGGCGCAGGCGAGCAGAACACTTGCAGCAGATCATCTAGTCGCAGTTGTATTTCTGGGCCAGCTGGCAGAGGGAAGGCTCGATGCTGCCACCCTGCAGGTGAAGCTCCCAAGTACAGGGTGGCCTCGTTCTGGATATTGTTGTCTGAGACAATGTGGCCATCCTCCAGCTGTTCGCCTGTAGAACTCAGATGCTGCTGGTCGGGTGGGATGCCCTCCTTGTCCTGGATTTTAGCTTTAACATTCTCAGTGGTGTCGCTGGGCTCGACCTCGAGAATGTTGGTCCTGCCGTCAGGGTCTTCACAGAGATCTGCATCTCTGTGTCTGCCGCAAGGCCGCTGCCGCCTATGAGATTTTTGGTTACTGATTCAGTCTTCTTACTAATTATAGGTCTGTTCGCCTTTTCTTTCTTCGTGATTCAGTCTTGCTAGGTTTGGTGTTTCTAGGAATGTGTCCGTTTCATCTGGGTTATCTAATTTGTTGGTGTACGTTTATTCATAGTGTTCTCTTACAATCTTTTTTATTTCTTTTTTTTTTAAGATTTTATTTATTTGAGAGAGAGAAAGAGAAAACAAGCAGAGGGGAGAGGTAGAGGGAGAAGCAGACACCCCGCTGAGCAGGGAGCCCAACGCAGGACTTGATCGCAGGACCTGGGGTCATGACCTGAGCCGAAGGCAGACGCTTAACAGACTGAGCCACCCAGGCACCGCTAATCTTTTTTATTTCTGTAGAGTTAGTAGAAATGTCCCACATTCGTTTCTGATTTTAGTAATTTGAGTCTTCTTTTTTCTTAGGTAACTGAGCTAAAGTTGTGTTGATTTTGTTTATCTTTTCCAAGAACCAGCGTTTGGTTTCATTGATTTTCTCAGTTGCTTTTCTATTTCCTTTATCTCTGTCCTGATCGTTATTATTTCCTTCCTTCTGGGTTTAATTTATTCTCTTTCTCCTTCCTTAAGATGTAAAGTTAGGTGATTGCTGTGGGCTCTTCCTTCTGTCTTAATCTAAGCATTTGTGGCTACACATTTCCTTCTTTGTGCTGTGTGTGCTGCATCCTGTAAGTTTGGGTAAGTTGTGTTTTCATTTTCATTTGTCTCAAGATCTCTTCTAATTTTTCTTGTGATTTCTTCTTTGACCCATTGGCTGTTTACCAGTGTGTTGTTCAGTTTCCACAAATTCGTGAATTTTTCAGTTTTCTTTCCTTTACTCACTTTTCACTTCATCCAGTTGTGGTCAGAGAAGACACTTTGTATGGGATCTGTCTTTGTAAATCTATTGAGACTTAATTTGTGGCCTAACACACAGCCTGTTCTGGAGCATGGACTGTGTGCTCTTGAGAAGAATGTGTATTCTGTTGTTGGGTAGGGTGTTCTGGGTGTGTCTGTTAGATCTAGTTGGTTCGTTGTGGTGTGCAAGTCTTTGATTTCCTTGTCTTCTTTTTGGTTGCTCTCTCCATTATTAAGAACAGAGTCTTGGGGCACCTGGGTGGCTCAGTCATTAAGCGTCTGCCTTCGGCTCAGGTCGTGATCCAAGGGTCCTGGGATCGAGCCCCACATCGGGCTCCCTGCTCCACGGGAAGCCTGCTTCTCCCTCTCCCACTCCCCCTGCTTGTGTTCCCTCTCTTGCTGTCTGTCTCTCTCTGCCAAATAAATAAGTAAAATCTTTAAAAAAAAAAAACAAAACGGAGTCTTGAAGTTTCCAACTGTTCTCCAATTCTGTCAGCGTTTTCTTCTTATATTCTGCTGGCATGTTACTATATACTTAATGGTCTGTCGTCTTGTTGTATTGACCTGTTATGAATATATAAGGACTTTCTTGGTCCCTTATAAACTTTTTTGATTTAAAGTCTATTTTGCCCAATATCATTAGCACAGCCACCCCTGCACAGTCGATTACGGTTCGCATGGGGTGCCTTTTTCCAGCCTTTCGCTTTCAACCTCGTTGTGTCTTCCCTAAAGTGAGTCTTTTGTAGACAGCATAGAGTGGGACCATGTTTTCCTCACCCATCCTGCCGATCTCTGTCTTTTGACTGGGGAGTCTCACCATCTCCACTGGAAGTAACTACTGGGGAGGAGAGACCTTTGTCATTTGGGCATATGTTTTCTGTATGCTGTAGAGCTGTTTTTATCCCTCATTTTTCTGCATTACTGCCTTTTGTGTTTGCTTTGTGTACTGAAACGTTTCTGCTCCCTTCTCATTTCTGTCTGTGTATATTCTGTAGCTGTTTTCTTAGTGGTTGCTGTGGGGATTACATCTGACGTCCTAACGTTGTAACAGTCTGTAATTTGAATTTCTGCCAGCTTCCGGAGCAAGTGAACTCTAGCCTTTTCATTTGTAAAATAGGAGAACCTGTGCTGCCTCCCTCAGAGGAACTTTGTGTGGCTCAAATATGGGAATCCGTAAAAGCTCCTTGTGAACTGCTGAACGTGTACACATCATTAACTCTCTTACCATCTTTTCCTTGGGCTTGCACTTATGTTCTGGACGTTGCTAGTGGATACTTCCGTGTTGTTTTTGTTTTTGTTTTTTCAGTTAATTAACATATATTATTAGTTTCAGAGGTAGAGGTCAGTGATTCATAGTTGCATATAACACCCAGGGCTCATTACATGACGTGCCCTCCTTAATGCCCATCACCCAGTTACCCCATTCCTCTACCCTGCTCCCCTCCAGCAGCCCTCAGTTTGTTTCCTGAGATTAAGAGTCTCTTATGGTTTGTCTCCCTCTCTGGTTTTGTCTTGTTTCATTTTTCCCCTCCCTTCCCCTATGATCCTGTTTTGTTTCTTAAATTCCACATGTCGGTGAGATCATATGATACTTGTCTTTCTGTGATTGACTTATTTCACTCAGCATAATACCCTCTAGTTCCATCCACGTCGCTGCAAATGGCCAGATTTCATTTTTTTTTTTTTTTTGATGGCTGGGAAATATTCCATCGTGTATATATATGTATACCACATCTTCTTTATCCATTCATCTGTTTCAGGGGTTTTGATTGTAAATAAGTACAACAGTGTTTAGCAACTCTTTTTTAACCAGCCTTTCACAGAAATAGAACTGTCCTGTCTTCTGGAACATTTTTTTTTCTTTAACAACTCTTTGGTTCAACGAGTACGGGTTAGGAAGCCGCCCTCTTCACTGTACCCCTAAGGCATGTGGGAAAAGCAAAACCCTGTTCTGCCCTGGGGCGGGACGGGACTGACGCAAGCCTGCACAGTCCCCCAGGAGGGACCAGCTGAGCTGACCCAGTGACTGGGTTGCGGGCCCCCTGGAGCAGGAGGAAAGGTGGAGGCCTCCTGGAGGAGACAGGACTGAACTGGGGGGCTTGGCAGCACGGGGCTGAGCTGCAGGAGGAGACAGGACAGCTCGCGCAGGAATAGGGGAGGGGTGTTCGGAGGACATGTTTGCTGAGTAAGGAGCTGCTGGAGGCACACGGAAGTGTTCTCATTTTTCTTCATTTTGCAGGAGGGGAAGTTGAGGTTCAGAAAATGTTTTGCCTGAAGTCACACAACTAGTTAATGGTGGAGTTGGTTTTAGGACTGTGCTGGATCTGTTGAGGCACAAGCTGTCGCGTTGTCTGATGAGTGGGATTTCCCTTGAACCTGGTCGGCCCTGGATGTATCACTCTGAACCTGAGAACATGAGAATCCTCGTGTAAAATGATGGTACTACCCTCATGGGGCGCCTGGATGGCTCAGTCGGTTGAGGGTCCGACTTTTGGCTTCAGCTCAGGTCATGATCTCAGGGTCACAGGATCGAGCCCCACGTCCGCTCTGCACTCATCAGGGAGTCTGCTTGAGATTCTCCCTCTCCCTCTGCCCCACTCTGCACGTTGTCTCTCTCTCTTTCTCAAATAAATAAATGAAATCTTTAAATAAAATTAAAGGTTTAAAACTTGAAAGGGTGGGGAAGGAAAAGCAACCTGTGTTGTACTCTGCTCAGTTAAAACGGCTAAGGCAGCGCTACAGGTGCCGGTGCGTGGAGATCCCAGGGCTGGACTGTGGAATAAAGGCAGCAAACCTCAGACTGCCTACTGCTCACTCCCTTTGTGGAAAAACACATGACACAGCTGTTCACTTCATTCTCTACATCTACCTTGGTGTGATGTGTCAGGGAGACTTAGCTTCTCCTAGGAGCTCTGTACAGTGGCTGTTCCAGTTCCTGCTTGTTTTTTTGGGGGGAGGGGCTGCTTTCTCGTGCACCACACGCTGAGCCTCTCTTCCTGGGTCCCCCTGGAAACCAGCCGCATGGCCTCTTTAGAGCAAGGCAGGTAAAGAGCAGTGGATGGGAAATAGTTCATAATTCCCTCAGTCTTATAAGTTGTGTGTTATGTGGACGTTTATGGGCATCCTGTTTCCACAGATACTTGTTTCTTTTTGTTCTTAATGTGATCAGCCTTGTTTAGCCTAGCCGTCCCTGTGGAGCATGGGCCCGCACCCCGCTTTCCGCACCAGCTGCGTGCAGCCGTTGGCTGCAGTCACCCCTGGAATGTGTGCCTCTGCTCTTCACATACCTGCTTCCCCAGCACCCTTGTGGCCTACCTGGTTACAGTAACACTTTTCATTCTGTTCCGGAGAACCATTGCAGCTCCCTCTCCTCTAGACCCTGACTTCCTCCCACCGCTGTGACCCTCGCCCCGGGGCACATGTGTGCTGCCTGAGTAGTAGGCCCTCAGTAAATGTTCATATGATGAATTTCTCAACTAAGGAACATGCTGTTTTCTTCCTTTTTTTTTTTTTTAAGATATTTATTTTTGAGAGCGTGAGCATGAGCGGGGGCAGAGGCAGAGGGGGGAGCAGACTCCTCACTGAGCAGGGAGCCCGACGTGGGACTCGATCCCAGGACCCTGGGATCATGACCCAGGCCAAAGGCAGGCAACCGACTGAGCCACCCAGGTGCCCAGAACGTGCTGTTTTCTTACTGTTGCCTGGGTTTTCGTTGTCTGCTCTCGGATTGCTTTCCTCCTGCTAATGCGTTTGTGTCTTCTCTTTGCAGATGAAGCTACTAAACTTATATATAAAGAGGGCCCAAACCACGAACAGTAACAGCAGCTCCTCATCCGACGTGTCCACACACAGCTAATGGCAGCGCCAGAGTCTCTTCGTGTAGCCCTAGAAGCAGTCGGTGGTGCCTCTCCGAGACCCTCCCCCACCCTCCCCCTCATCAGCTGCCCAATCAATACAAGGAGGCCCGCAAATATTTATTACAATCAGTATTTTGGTCCCTTCCAGCTTTTGTGTAGAATCTTACTGGTATTGAATGTAAAGGAAGCAAGGCCTGTATTGCAGTCCTCATATGAAACAAATGGAATAAGAAAAGAGCCATACTTAAATGCATCTTGTACAGCCTGCTGAGATCATAAAACCATGTGTGTGGGGTGCACTTTCAAAAAATTGGAGCTCTCTGGCCAATACTTGGTAGAAAGTAGCATTTTCTCTTAGTTACTAACATTTGAGGAGGGTATGTTAATTTGTGCTTCTCTCTCACTTCGCTTACTTCCTTCTGGATACGGCCTGTGACCCCAGGAAAGGGTCATACATCTTTCAGTTGTATTGTGAGACCTACTAAGAGTGTGAGTCAAGTCTCGGCAAGAAACAGAGAAAAGCCTGAAGACGGTCTTGTAACAACCACGTGGGATTTTGCTTGTACAGGATCTAGCCTGGAGGCCCAGGGTCCCCTTGCAGCCTCCTTCCAGGATGGGCTCCCCACCCCTCTGGACACTCTACTCACGCTGTCCCCGCCTGGAGCTTCCAGTCGAAAGAATTCTTTCTTCTGTTTAAATCCAAACACAAAAATCAAGGTAAATCTGTAGCAGCCATTCGTGGGTGCCTAACGTGGCATTTCATGAAGCCTGGAGGGTACAAAAGAAGGTGCGTGTGTGTGAGTGAGTGTTCCACTCCTCAGCTCTTGGGGAAACACTATGTTAACAGGGCTCCGCCTTGACCCTGGTGCTTGGTGGTGCAGATTTTTAGATTTAGCGCCCTCTCTCTGCCTCCCCCACAGCCTCTGCCTCAGCTCCTCAGTTCTGGAGTGTTCTCCGTCAGTCTGGTAAATGGCATCCCAGTTTTGACTTCTCGGTTTAATATAGGAGTAAGATCGAAGAAAAGTCCAGAGAGGCCAAGTATCAGAATCTTTTTTTTTTTTTTAATTTTATGGACAAAAGTACTTTCTTGCTCATCTGTTGAAATAGTCCTTGTTTAAGGAAAAAGTAATTTGGCGGCTAGCAAATTGCAGAAAAACAGGATTTGAAACCCAGTTTCAAAGTCTGTTTCCTTTTCTCCAAGGAGAAATGATCAGAGAAACTACCCTTACAAATTTCTTAAGGGTTTGATTGCTCCAGTAAAATGAACTCTAGATTTGGAATCTGGTTAAATACATTTTGAGTAAAATTCTTAAAGCCACATGGAAATCCTTGATGTCTTCACAAAGGCTTTTCTATCCTGTGTCTAAATGGAACTGGTTTTTCCTTCTGGAAAATGCCGACTCTGGTGGTATTTTTTTTTAATGAGATGTTCGCTGTTCCGATGCAGAATCCCCTGCAGCCTGCAGCCCTGAGAACAGAGACTGTGTGGGGTCACCATGGACGTCCACAGACCCCCCTGCTCTGGCCCTCGGCTTTGTGTTGGAAGTTGCAACACTGTAGCACACATAAACTCAGTTTCATTCGGAATTTATTTTAGATACTTTATTTGGAACTAGGCACTGAAAATGAAGGTCCAGGAACAGTGAAGCCAGGGTGCCTTCACTGAGAGAGAGAGAGAGTGCGCGCGCGTGTGTGTGTGTGTGCACGCGCGCATGCGCGCACGCAGGGGGTATCTTGCACATGGAGGGAAGTACCCCACTGCTGCTGTTGAAGGAACTTCAGGGGTGCATTTTAAGTGGTTGAATATTGACTTATTTTTGGCTCAGAACATAGCAGGACCAGGCCTTACTTTCACTGATAAATACCGTTTGTTATATTTCACTAATGGGATTTCCTTTTTACACTCGACAAGTGAGTCAGGGCACCTTTTGATTACTCCTCTGTTGTAGAAACGTGCATTCTGGCTAGGTTATTTATGAGTTCTGTTACACCTGATGCGTTTGGAAACACCTTTCTCCTTGAACTCTCTGACTCCCTGGTCCCCCAGGCCCTGCCGCCTGCAGTTGGGAAGAATCTTGAACATTGCCGAGTTGTCCTCACAGTACTCCCAAAGGGCTAGCCTTGAATGTCACTTCCCCAGCCTTCAGTCTCCTGACCTAGAGAGAGCTACAATCACGTACAGGTCTCTTGGCCTCAGTCAAAGCCCTGCCCTCGCGCCGGGGTGACTCGCATGCCGCCACCACCTCATGGGGAGGGAGCTGCGCCTGCCGCCGACCCCCGAACCCCGGACAGCCGCCGCCCCCCTGCAGGCCTCCCGTTCGGCCCAAACACCACAAAGAGCAAAGCACCCAAAACTGCGAAACTCTGTTTGCCTCCCCTGTTCACCTGACCGTCCAGGACCCTGACGAGCCCACCCACCTGAGCCTCCCTCGCGCTGGGACTGGCTTCCCTCCTGGCTCCTACTTGCCACGGTGCGGCGGGCAGGCTGAGGCCGAGGTGGGCCTGCAGCTTCCTTCAAGTACACCGTGTGTGCTTCGCCGGGCGGCGCTGCGGACAGCCCGGGACTGCCTCTCTGTGGCGCCCCCCGGCTTCCCCTCCCCTGTGCAGGTGATGCAGCCGATCCTGGTCTCCTCCGTCTTTTTCTTTCCCTGCCGCCCTTTATTTATCAAGCCTAATACTACACGTTAACAGCAAGTAAGGACTTTGTAGAATCCCACCAGGACTTTGCTAACAATGATGTTTGGAAATGGGAAAAAAAAAAAAAACGCTCTGAAAACTATCAGCCACCAAAATAGTTTTGTCGGCACTGTGTTCACACGCATGGTCCCCACACCCCCAGGTTGGGTTTTTTGGGTTTTGTTTTTGTTTTTTGGGGGCTTTTCATGTTACATCCATATCTGTATTTATATCTTATTTGTTTCACTTTCAAGTGTATCATGGCAAATGTACAGATTTTTTTTGTTAATAATGTGCTAGGATTTGCTAAAAAAAAAAACAAAAAAAAAAAACCCTTTTGAGTTTGCCCTAGAATAAATGAAACTTAATTCAGTTTCTTGCCCTGGAGCAGTCTTTTTCCTCCCTGGATCCTGTAGATAGCTTATCCCGTCTCCCCAACCCCAGAAGGTGACGTGTTTGTAAAGAATCCGAGGGGGCTCCATCAAGGGAGTTTTCTCGATGTCAACGCGTCACTCTCTGGGGGGAGTGTCCCACCTGCCCTGAGTGCTTTCGGGAGCTGCCACCTTGCAGTGTGGAGTGGAAGGGTTGGGCGTAAAGACCCAGGTGGGCTGTCTGAGCAGAGAGGAGGTTAGCTTCCAGGAACTCAGCTCAGGAGCTGCTGCTGGGAGCAGGCTAGACCTGGGGGAAGGACTTGGAGGGAGGGGGCCGCCTGGCAGCTGACCGGAGCATGGACTTAGGAGGATCGCGTGCAGGACACCAAGGGCACCAATCCACTTTTTTGAAGCCTTTTACTAAAAAAAAGATGGTGAGTTTTCCATTGTTTACTGTGATGTACCTCAAGTACCACCACCCCATGACTCAGGCCCCTTTCCCTGTGGCCCACCACCTCCTTCCCCCGTTTGACCTGTGACAGCGGGGTGGTAGGATCACAAATGCCTGGGCCCAAATCCCAGCTCCCACCCTCCCCAGGCAAGTCGCCACTCTTCCGGCTGGCAGTTCCATTTTTAAGGTGGAACAACAGCTACGTCCTGGTGGGGCTGTGAGGATTCGTGGAGCTGAGGTAAGCTGCTGGGACGGAGTGAATGCTGGGATGCCCCCGCGCTGCCTCCTGCAGGGAGAGGGAAGTCGGGTGGAGCCACCCCCGCAAGCCTGCACGCACACTCCATTATTCATTAGTGAATGTGGAAAACTCCCGGGCGGGCACAGACCACAGTCCTTTGGGTCTCTAACCCCTGCCTTTCCCAGGTCTGCCATCTTGAAGATGGTCACGGGCCATGGTTGCGGTGGGGTGGGGTGTTCAGAGGCCCACTGTAGTCCACAGCGCTTGGTTCAGGGGGTCTGAAAGGTCTTCTCTCCAGAAAGTGCACCTTTCCACTCAGTTTGGCACTCACTCATAGAAGGTTCCAGGACCCCCCTGAACCTGTCCCAGGTTCCCAAGGTGAAAAGCTCTGACCTGAAGACCAAATATGCTCTTGACATTCTTGGGTCATTCACGAGGGGGTGGGGACGTGCAGCTGACAGGCAGCATTAATAAACTTGTCTGGCATTTAGACTTGGGAGAATTCTCATCTGTAACCTCGGACTGGCTTTTCCACCAGTTCTGTGATGCAGATAAGGGACGTGCTGTCCTGTTCAGTTGTCAGAGGAGGAAACTGAGTCATGAGGCATGAGGAGAAGTCTCGGTTAGACGGTGACAAATGTTAGGGCAAGACCCCAGGCTCTGCCCCTGTCTAGCAGGTGTCTTCCCAGCCCCCCCCCCCCCACCTCCCACCGTTAGCACATTTTTCCAGGAACAACAGATGGGCACGTGGGAGTCTCCCGGGGTGGGGGGGGGGCTTGTGAAGCAGCATGCTCAGTGCCACCCCCTGAGCAGCAGATTCTGGAAGGCTGCAGGCAGGCCTGAAAAGGTGCATTTCTGACAAGCTCCCCGGCGAGGCTGATGCTGCTGGTCTGGGGTCGCAGCTCGAGAACCACTGCCGTGCACTTTGCTTAAAACAGGACGGGTGGTTTGGTCCCAAGCTTTTGGGCAGTCCTGAGAGAAGCTGTTGCAGAACACAGCACCGCGGACATGACGGGTAAGGCTGCTGCCTGTCTAACTTAGCCTCCTGACTAGGACTTCCGGAAGGGAATGGGGGCCGTTAGCAGAGGGAAGCCAGGAGTGTCCGGGGCAAACTGGGCACTCAGCCCTCACCCCCCTCCAGCATAAAGCTCCCTGCTCAGGGGAAAGCGCTTCCTGCAGGGCCTTCGCCCAAACCAGCCGGCCTCGTGGCTTCCTCCAGTATTTATTAACTCCCGCTTCAGTGGCTCCAGGCAAGAACGGACAAAGGTCATGTGAATGGGCATCTAATCCCGGATTATGTATTTAAAAAACACTACAATGCTTCCACACCAGTGCCCTCCTCAGACGGCGGGCCTGCTGCCAGCACCGGGGCCCCGGAGGCTGGCTGTGGGGGCGCCCCAGGTGTCCCCAGCTCCAGCGCCCATCAGCGCCTCTCCTCTGGTCTCCCGCTTCCCCGTCTGCGGGCTGCGACGGCCTCACCCTGAGCTGTTGGATGCCAGGCTCACTGAACTGTGCCTCGGGGGCGCCCCCGGGGTGCTGCTCACGGGGCCTGGTGAGGGGGTCAGGGGCCCACCTGAGGCAGGAAGTCTGGATCTTGAACCCTACTTGAGTGTTGCAGGGGTCTATGACTTCACCCAGATGACTCCAGTCTAGGAGGAGGTCAATTTCTTACTGTAAAAAGAGTAGAGGAGTGAGGGGTTGGTCGGGGTGAGGGGTGGCGGGCCCCACTGCTCGGCCCCCACAGCCCCTCCTGTCTGGGCTTCTCAGGCGCCCTCTCTACAGGGCACTACTCCTCCCCTCCCCCGACTCCTTTCTGCGCCTGCTGTGTCCCGAGGGCCTTGCCTCATGACCCCTGGGCTCCAGCTTCACACCCCCCTCTGCCTTCGCGAGGTCTCCGCATGGACAGCATGGACGTCTCAGGAGCTGCTCAGTGCCCACAGTGGGAGTTTCCAGCTGGTCTCCCAAACCCGCTACCCTCCCTTTCGGTAGCTCCCCCCCTCGCAGATGCCAAGGCCAGGCCCTCCCCTCATCCTGCCCCCCCACCCCTACACACACCTTCAACTCCCCAGTGCAATGAGCCCCACCCCCACAGTGGGTCTCTTTCCTCTTGCGAGGACCACGGCCCCTGCTCTCCCCTGCACAGCCCCTGCACAGCCCCTGCACAGCCACAGAGGGGCTGCTCCATCCCCTCCTGCCTCCGGGCTCCTGCCCTCTGTCCTCACTCCAGAACGGCCCCCCTTGGGATTTTTAAGAACGTTCATCTGATCTGCCATCGCTTTGCTTCAGACCTTGCAGTGGCTACACACACACACACACACACGCACACACGCACACACGCACACACGCACACACACACACAATTTGAAAATCTTGAATGCTGCCTACAAGACCCACCACCCAGCCCCCGCGCTCCTCTTTAGCTACATCTCATATCACTGTTTCCCTGCCTTGGGCGGGGCCTTTGCATTTTTTTTCCTTCTGCATGGCCCACTCTCCTACCCCCTGTGCCCGTGCGCACACACGCCTAGACACACAATTCCCTTGGCTAACTTTGACAGGTACTTTATGTCTCAGCTTAAATGCCAGGTCATTATTTCTTTGGAAAAGAATCTAAATGAGTCCCTTACTTTTCTTACCTAACATGTTCATATCCGTTTGTGTGATTGTTTCACCCATCCCTGCGGGTGGGAACTGGGCCTGTCGCACTGACATCTGTATTCCAAGTACAGCCCATGTGCTGGTTTGGTGGTAGGTGCTGAATGAATGAATGGATGGATGGATGCATGAATGGATGAAAGAATGAACGAATAAATGAATGAATGATCAGTTTGCAGTTCCTGGAGTAGCCTGTGATCTCAAAGGCATGCCCCGTGACCTAGAGCTTTTTCTGTTTCTTCAGGGGCCCTGCCGTCTGCCGTGAACACGGAACCCTGCTACACTGCCTGGGTCCCAGTCCCAGCTCTGGGGGCCCTCCGGCAAGTCGGTAACATTTTCCCTCTGTTTCTTTCTCTGAATGGGCAGAGTGCCAATAGTGCTGACCTCGCAGGCTCTCTGTAAGTCACTTAAAAATAAAAAGTGCCCCGGCCCCTGCCTGGCATGTTGTGTTAGCCACTACTTTTTATTCGGTGGTCAATTAAACCAATTAAGTGAGGGAGTGACATTGGCCTTTGGAGTCGGGCCTGGGTCCCAATGCTGGCTTCCTTCCATTGCTCATCTGTGTGAACTCAGCTGAGTCTTTGGGCTTCCACCAGCCCGAAAATGATGAGAAGCAGTGTGACCACCGTGGAGAAGTGTAACATCCTCTTGTAATTAAAGATTCATGTACCTTCCAACCCATCCCTTCCACTCCTGAGGCATGCCCTGGACAAACCTACACATGAGTGTTTTAGCAGACTCATGCAAGCGTTGGAGGCGGCATAATTCCTAATAGCAAGGCCAGACACAGCCCAAAGTGGTCCTACAAGGAGGGAGGACAGAGGCCTTGCAGATTTGTCACATGGTGGGGTCTGGTACAGAACTGCAAAGGAATGCTCTACAGCTGCATTTATCTACATGGATAAATCTTAGGAACACCTAAGGAAAAAGAAAGTTCCAGAAGAATGTGTAGACTATCTTACCATTTTTTGAAGTTTTTAAAGATGAAAATGACCAAAACTAAATAACCAGGTGTCTTTTAGAGACACATAGGTTGTGGTAAAACTTTACAAAGTAAGTAGATCTAAAACCAATTTAGGAGAGTGGTTGGTTGTTGTGTGTGTGTGGGGGGGTGCCAACAATCCAGAACAGCAATAATTAAAACCAGCTCAGTAAAATAGTATTTAGTAAGAGTTTAGCAAAGTGAAAATGAGGAATTTGTTTGATCTGGGCAATGATGGATGATCACAAAAGGGGAAGGGGTTTTTAGATGGCAGGGGATTGGTTTAAAGTGATTATTTCATACCATTTTAGGAAATGGGCTTAAATGTCTTTTATGATTATCGGAGACATTTACAAGAATAATATGTTTTTGCACTTATGTTCATGAAATGAGCTAGATCTAATCTCGCTTACGTGGCTTGCACAGTTTTGTCTGCTCGGGGCATTTTCAAGTTTGGTCTCCATTGTGTATTTCCCTTCAACATGGGAGAACAAGACAAGAAGCAGGTGGCCAAGTTCAATGACATTGATGATATTCTGGCTCATAATACGGATGGTGGGCTCACAGGTGTTTGTTTTATTTTTATAGCTCATTACTAACATGTATGTT